CTGCTGCTGCTGCTGCTGCTGCTGCTGCTGCTGCTGCTGCTGCTGCTGCTGCTGCTGCTGAGGGGGTATTGTGTAAGTGAGCAGCAAAGATTTGCTGCTGCTTTTAAATTTGAAGTTTTTAAAGTCCAAAACAAAAGGCTCTGAAGCCACGCTGGCGGACTCAATGACCCCCAGCGCCAAGCTGCTGCTGCTGCTGCTGCTGCTGCTGCCAGTGTTGCTGCTGCTGCTGCTGCTGCTGTCAGTGCTGCTGCTGCTGCTGGCCTCGCTGCTGCTGCTGTCGCAGCTGGAGGGTGCTTTGGTGCTGCTGCTTAGCGCTGCTGCTGCGGCTGCTGCGGCGTAAAGGGCCTCGCCGCAGATGTCCACTCTGCTGCTGCTGCTGCTGCTGCTGCTGCTGCTGCTGCTGCTGCTGGCAGCGCGGCACTGCTGTACAAGCCGCTGCAGCTCGCCTGGTGGGACTAAGTCCTTCTGGGGAGAAGAAGACTGTGCTGCTGCTGCTGCTGCTGCTGCTGCTGCTGCTGCAACTCGCTGCCGCTGCAGCTTCGCCTCCCGTTGCTGCAGCAGCCCGTAGCCGAAGCAGCAGCAGCCACACGCCGCTGCAGCAGCAGAAAGAATGGGAGATACGAATAAATTGTGCTTCATCTTCTGCTGCTGCTGCTGCTGTTGCTGCTGCTGCTGTTGCTGCCGCTGCTGGAGAGGGCCCAAGGTGTCTGGGGGCCCCCGATGCTTGGGGGCCCCTAAGCAGCAGCAGCAGCAGCAGCAGCAGCAGCAGCAGAATGTGCTGCAAATTGCTGCTGCAGCAACCGAGAAGAAAATAAAGAGCTAAATAAAGGCCCTTTGAAGGTACCTTGAAAAACTACCGCTGCTGTTGCTGCTGCAGCTGCTGCTGCCGCTGCTGCTGCTGCTGCTGCTGCTGCTGCTGCTGCATGCGTCGATTGTGCCCCACAGTGTACTTCTGGGGTTTAGAGATTTTGCTGCTGTGGGTGCCGCCAAATTCAATTTGCTGTCAAGAATTTGAACTTAAAGTCTAGGGTTTAGGGTTTAGGGTTTAGGGTTTAGGGTTTAGGGCCGTCGCCACTAGCCCAGCCCCCCGCAGCAATCGGCCGAGCTGCTCAGCAGCAGCCGCAGCAGCAAAGCAGCAAAAGCAACAGCAGCAGCAGCAAAGCAGCAGCAGCAGCAGCAGCAAGCGCGGGCGCACGACAGATGGCGGAAGGCAAGGCGGCTGGCAAGCAGCAGCAGCAGCAATCAGCAGCAGCAGCAGCAGCAGCAGCAGCAGGAACAGCAGCAGCAGCAGCAGCAGCAGCAACAGCAGCCTGAGAAACAACGGCAGCAGCTACAGCAAGCAGCAGCCCCAACAGCAGCAGCAGCAGCAGCAGGAGCAGCAGCAGCAGCAGCAGCAGCAAACAATGCCTCGCTCTGCTGGAGGGCAGTACGAGCCGCTGGCAATCGTGCCAGCAGCAGCAGCAGCAGCAGCAGCAGCAGCAGCAAACCCCTTGAGCTGCGGGGGCCCCCTTTCTGGCTCTCGGCGGCTGCAGCAGGCTTTGAGTTTGGAGTGTATGGACAGGTTGGGTGGCCCTGTGAGTTGCTGCTGCTTCCTGCCGCCGCTGCAGCGCAGCAGCAGCAGCAGCAGAGCAGCAGCAGCAGCAGCAGCAGACTCCGACGAAGAGCAGCAGCAGCAGCAGGAGGACAGCGACGACGGCGACATCGAAGCCCTGCTGCAGCGCAGCAGCAAACGCAAACAGCAGCAGCAGCAGCAGCAGCAGCAGCAGCAGCGGCTCAGCAGCAGCTGGCTGCTGGCAGAAGGCACTCGTGTCTTCAGCACGAGCTGCAGCAGCAGCAGCAGCAGCAGCAGCAGCAAATCTGAGCCCGTCAAGTTCTTCTCTGCCAAGTCCCCAGTCACGGCCCTTGCCGCGAGATCAGGCAAACCCTAAACCCTAAACCCTAAACCCTAAACCCTAAACCCTTTGCTGCGCACCACACAGTCTCACAGAGAAAGGAAGAAAGCAGCAGCAGCACACCTGCTGCTGCTGCTGCTGCTGCAGGCCCTGCTGCTGCTGCTGCTGCTGCTGCACTGCCTCCAATCACTCCCTGCTTCTAACACCACATTATTATTTATTTATTCATTATTTATTATATTTATTTATTTATTTATTTATTTATTTATTTATCTATTTATTTATTTATTTATTTATTTATTTATTTATTTAAAACAAGTCTACCTCGAGAACGACGTCACCCCCTCAGCGACCCGGAACGACGACACCACAGACATGTGAGCTTCGTTTGCGACGCCGCCGACGTCGTCGTCGTTTTCGACGGAAACTCCAGAAACCACAAATCGTTCAAGGTTCCCCGAGAAAAACGACGACCTCTGCTGTGCCATTTGGGATTTGGGATTTGGGATTTGGGATCGGCGGACAACGACGAAATTTACCCGAAATTCGCCGAGAAAAACGACGAGGAGACGACACGGTAAACCCTAAACCCTAAACCCTAAACCCTAGCCGCCTGTTGCTGCTTTAAATGGGCTTTAAGCGGCTCTTTTTGCTGCTGGAGACGGCACGGTAAACCCTAAACCCTAAACCCTAAACCCTAGCCGCCTGTTGCTGCTTTAAATGGG